TATGTTATGATTCTCATGTAATAGGGGGTGAGCCTATTGCCATATACCGGGCACAATTCCAGACTCCGTGCTACTTCTGAGATTGTTTTTAAAACCCAGTAATACTTTGCCCGACCCGGGAATCGAACCCGAGACCCCTTGCCCGGCAGTCGCACTTGCAACCACTCGGCTAACGAGGCAGTCATCGTTATCGATATAACTTTTTAGATTTTTTCGTGGGAATGAGAAGTTCTGCCGCGGTAAAGCCTTGCTTTTCCAGGATTCAAACTACCTTCATACCAAATTTCTTCAAAATCCTTTTAGCCGTTAAGGTGTGAAAGAACAATATACAGAAGGAGTTATTTTCGCATTACCACAAATACCATCCTCCCATTTTCGCATTACCACAAATACCATCCTCCCATTTTTGCATTACCACAAATACCATCCTCCCATTTTCGCATTACCACAAATACCATCCTCCCATTTCAATTTAAAAGATTCACCTAACTAATATACAGCTACTGTATCATGGTGACCCCAAAATTGAAACATTCACTGACAACCTGTTTTTGTGAAAATTGAACATCGTCGACTCCTCAGGCTCTGGATGAGGTGGGAGAAAGTGTCAAATTCTTAATTTCTTCCTGGCTAATACCAACCCGTTCCAAGTCCTGCTCCGTGGCAAGGTATATAGTATATGGCTGTCTTTTTTTTGTGTAAGCCGGTAAACGAGCAGACAGATCATCTGATGGTAAGCAATCGGCGCCGCGCATGGACACCCGAAACACCAAGGCGTTACAAGTGCGTTACCGGTCTTTTGGGAATTGGGAATTTGAGGATTGTGGAGGATTCGGGTATTCGGGAGACTAGGGAGGGTGTAATTGGGCCTCCGGTAACCCCATTCACACGACGAAATACAACGTAAGCGTTGTTTCACGTCGGTTTTCGGTGAGGCCGTGGTATGGTATCACTCCGGTGGAGCCGGCTCCTTTGTGTTCTATTAAGTCATCCTCCTCCTATGGCTCATATCACAATGATATAACGTAATGCCCACAAAATTGTAAATTAGGTACCTATTAAGGTTTTAATGAATAATTTTCTATGGAACTTATGGCACCGACTTCTTACCTATCAGTGGGTGCGTAACCTATCAGTACTAATAATAGTTATTTTTTGCTTTTTAGTTTTGACTTTTTCATTATTTATGTTATGAGTCCCACGTTATAGGAGGTGAGCTTATTGCCATATACCGGGCCCAATTCCAGACTCCATGCCATGAAGTACTGAGAATTAAAAAAAAATGTATTACTTTGCCCGACCCGGGAATCGAACCCGAGATCCCTTGCCTAACAATCGCACTTGCGACCACTCGCCAACGAGGCAATAGCAACAAGGCGCATAAACTAAAAAAAATCGATTTCCACTCCCTCTTTTTTAAGTTAGGTAATAAATATACTAAAACCTCCTCGCGAAGAATCTAACGGGTTACCGGGGCTCCGGCTCGAAGTGCAGTAGAAACGGGGTGGTTTTTAGTCAGTAAGAGTCTGACACTCCCTTCCTCCTCTTCCAAGACCGGAGAAGTCATTGGATGTTTGTCTCTCCTTAAAAGAAGCTTTAGTACCTATACCAGCAACACCAGAAGTATCACAAGTACACTAGTTATCTTACTGAGATGAATCCTGAAATGAAAACAAAGAATAGCCTTCCAACTTTTGTTTATTTGACGCCAATGGCAGTCCCCTTGCGTCATAACACTTATACCGATTCCCGCCAGAAACGTATTTATGTCAAACATATTTATTAAATAATTTTCCTCAAACTTTTGTTATTACCTAAGTCGTATTTTCTACAATTTTCATAGGAACGTGCGTTTCTACACGCCTGCTTCTTAATCTTCTATCCACATGGATAAGTCCCAAAAAATAGTCTTTAGTGCACATGTGTATAAGGCTCTTTTTTGTGATAAGCTCCCAAAACCTAAAAGTGTGAGAGAGCCATGATATCGACTTACATCAACTGGGGCTGGTCAGCTCCAGACTGTATTATTGTCCTTAAGGTTACTTTCTTTTTTGATCACTTTGACTGGATTTTAGTGTTACATTGTTCTCGCACAATCCAAACAGCAAAACTATGTAACTAGTAAATTGTATTGTGAACTCGATTGAAAAAGAGTAATGGAGTTTCTTGCTCGTTCTTCTCCATAGGAATCTACACCTTGGAATGAGCAAATAGTGTCAAAAGTGCCATTCTGGCCTAATTGAAATAAATGATTTTGACTTTGACTTTGACATCCACCCTCCCCTTCCCCAATCCTTGAATCCCAAACAACCCTCAAACTCCAACCGGTCACGCACTTGTAACGCCTCTGGTGTTCCAGGTGTCCATGGGCGAAGCCGATTGCTTACTATCAGAGGATCCGTCTGCTCGTTTACCGGCTTTTTCCAAAAAAAAAACCTCTGTGATTCATGTGAAGCAGTGTCGTCGTGTAGATACAACCATGGACACACTGACCAAGGGACTGCATTGTCTAAAAACAGACATCACTGCTGTCTGAGATTATTTTTTAATAGGACAAGTCCACTACAACCTCCCAAACCGCTGCAACTCCTGTAAGCCAGAATCTGCAGTAGATACATCCATGAAAACACTACAGTCTGCTGCCACTGAAGGCACATCCCAGGGGCATGATACTTACGAGACGCGCAGGGTTCGTGAGAACTGACCAATTGCATTGACAGAGGACGGACATCACCGCTCCCTGATACCACTGATACCAGAATCGTTTAACTGGAATGCTTAATCCGCCTGCCAGGTGCGGAGATTATAGCAAGGTCTTGATTTCACCAAATACCACAGCCTCACTAAAACTGACGTGAAACGCTTAGATAATATTTCATCGTGGGAATCGGATTATCGGTGCCACGATCTTCCTTCCTTTTCCCAAATACCTCCAATCCTTAAAAGGCCGGCAATATACTTCCTCTGGTGTTGCGGGTGTCCATGGGCTGATTACTTACCGTCAGGTGATCCGTCTACTCGTCTACCATACGAAAGACAAATGCCAATGAATCTTGCGATCCAGGCACCATTTTACAAAATTATCTATAACATGTTTTATTAATGCAAATTCTCAAAAACAAATACCAAGAATATAAACAGTAATGTAAAGCTTTAAAGTGCAAAATTACGTGACCAACAAATATAATAGGCAATAGGCTCACCCCCTATTACACGGGAATCATAACATAAATAGTGAAAGGTGGGTGTTACATTGTACATTGGCATTAAGTGCCGTAATGTGCACCTGCCTATCCCTGTTAAGTAAATACAACTCGTGCGTAGGTACCGGAAAATATTGATTGGTATTTACTAACTATTCCAAATATTTATTATTTCTGGTTTTCCTTTTATTATCGGCTATAGGTACTTCACGATTTATAGCTCCAGTTGGTATTTATGCCTCTAAATTGTTTGATTTAGCCATTAAATTTACAGTAGGTAGGAACGTTTTCCGTCGTCATCTTAATCTAACCGGTGTACAAATTGTCCTGTAATCTTGTACAAATATCGGTTATTAGATTCTACCAGCGGCTTAAGTTTACGTCCCGTGGGATAAGAGTAGCCTGTTTTTTTTATGGAATAGGAGGTAACGAGGTACGTAGAACGTAGGTACCGTCGAACGTAGATACGAGTAGGCGGATCACCCAGGGCCTTTAGCCAAACGCCACTTTAGCGCTTGTCTACAGACAGAGTAGAAATCAAAATGTATGGGGATGACACTGACAAGTGTCAAAATTTACGTCAATTCCATATAATTTGGTTTTCTATTCTACATGTAGACAATCGCTTAACCCCTTATCTGCCGGCATATGAGACACAATAGATAATACATAGTATCTCGCGTATATCTACGCTCCCGGCATACCAGGGGTTAATGGCATTTGGCTGCAGCTGGTGAAGCGTAAGCGATTAGCGCCGCTCTTGGACACCCGCTTTTTAAAAGGTAAAAAGGAATATTGTCTTTTCTTGAAGCTAAGCTTATATAGAAGCAGGCGGTGGTCTGGGGTGGATCTATTGAGCACACCAAGCTTCATCGAGACTAATTTGGCCTTATCCTCTAAATGACCGCGGAATTGGACGTCGTCGCTCGAAATGCTGACACCAAGTATTCCAATACCGGCTGAGGCAGTTAAGGGGTTGATTTGAAACTTAGGAGCGACGACCAAAGGCAGTTTCTTAGCGGTAAACACGCTGACCTCCTGTGTGTTGTTCCAGACTAAATTCTACCCGTGTTCTGAATTCAAATAATATAATAACTATTAATAGTAGTTTAGTTAGATTATATTTTGCTCCATATGTTGCTGTGCCCTATCCGGGTTTCATGTTGAAACTGTACCTCATGTAACACCAACAATTGTACACATGATATGCAATAAAAAAAATTGAATTTGAATTTGAAATCTGATCCCTTATTATGTGATTGAGTAACATATACACGCAAACTCACAGACTTCTGCATTTATGATAGTAGTAAGATGTGGAAGAATGCATCATAATATGTCTATGCATAAGGGTGGGACAGATAACCTGATTAAGGTCGTCGCTGGATGCAGATCGCTTCCAACCGACCTATCTAGAAGTCATTGAGGGAAGCCTGTGTTAGCAGTGGACTTCTTGTTTCTGATATGATGTTGATTACAGTCGTGGTGGCCTGAAGGTCAAAACGCTTCTCATGCATGAGAGTGCAGGTCCGAAACTTACCAACAGCAAGTACCAATATAACTTTTTCCGAGTTATATGTACTTACTAAGATTACTAAACACCACTGACAAACTATGAAGGAAAACATCGTGGGGAAACATGGGCTTATAATTCCTAATTATCAGTTTGAAATCGCCAACACGCGTCGGACAAACATGGTGGTTAATGCTCAAACCTTCTCCATGTGAGAAGAGGCTTTGCTCAGCAATGGCCACTTATAGGCTGTTGATGTATGTATGTATGTAATGAAAGAAATATTAAACCTTAAAATAAAAAATATATTCAATTTGTTCTTATCTTACATTTGTGGTAGTAGTTCTTGTAGTTCAGTTACAAAATTCAGGCGTATCTTGATGCGCTGTAATATTTCTTGATCGATGACGCTGGCTTCAGGCTGTAGAATATTGGCGTTTTTATTGTTGCTGTAATAGAAACGAAGTTTGTGTTGATTTTTGTCACAGATAGATTTTGGCAATGCTGCCAACCTTCCTGGTACTTTTCCTATTGACGTCGATGCGGACGAATTTTTTGATGCTCTCTGTAAATAGTTATTTTTAGTTTTCTTTTATTTAATTTTCTTCATTAGTTTTAGTGTCTCCTAAGTTGTATATATTTCTACGGAGCCGCGGAAGGCGTAACACCGGGGCTCCGGCTCGAAGAGCAGGGGTAGGAACGGGTGGTTTTTAGTCAGTAAGAGTCTGATACTCCCTCTCGCTAACCCAAGGCGGGAGAAGTCATTGGATGATTTTCCGCCCATAAAAAAAGGTCCACAGCGGGCAACCTTACATAGGTTGCCCGCTGTTTTTTAACGAACTTATATTAGCGTTTGGTACAGTAACTGTGTCTAGGGATCGAGCCGCACAATTGGATAGTTTCCTGGGTCGAAAATAAATTATTTTGATTTTTCAGTCCCATTAAATATTAAAAAATAGTTACACTTTCATTCATTGATTTGCCGATGTATTTAATTTTCGAAGAATCGGTATCGGCCCTATTGGGCAACAGTTACAGCCTAAGGTCCACAGTGGGTCGCGGAGAACCTAACGGGTAACCGGGGCTCCGGCTCAACGTGCATGAGAAGGAACGGGGTGGTTTGTAGTCAGTAAGAGTCTGACTGCTCCCGCCTCACCCAGGCGGGAGCAGTCATTCGATGATATTCCCACCTTAAAAAAATAATAAAAAAAAGGCTGGAACTGTTTATTTCAAAATTGTTTTATCGGAACCACAATAAGTTGCATAGCTGCCGTACGTCCAATCACTGCGCAAACACTGTTCCTAATAGTTTTTCTTTTAATTTAATTTATTATTTATATTTAATAAAATAAATATTGATCCACACTATAATTATATCCTTAATTGAAACTTACAAACACATCACCCAGACTTAAAAAAATTAACAAAAAACACAACTTACGCATTTTTTTCCACAACACCAATTTACCCGTGGCCGCCGTTGCCATGGCGACCAGTAATAACAGTAATAGAAAAATCTTCATTATTTGAATTTTAATAGATTGCACGATGTCTTTGTTCGACTGTGGACGTATTCTGGCTGATATGACGATGAAGTATTAATTTATAAACGTTTTTTAGCATATATCTTCATGTTGGTCTGAGGGAATCACCGGGTATCTCATGGGGTCACTGAGTGCAAACTTTAATGTAGGTGGCAGCATATCAAGTGTCGTCAATTGCCATTTATATTTCTAACTTTATAAACAAAGTATTAAGCTTGAGAATGGAATGTACGTTGTAGTAATTTGAATTGCTGACAACTTTAAATCATACATTTGTTGTCTTCTTATCGTAGTGCGGGGAAATGCATTCGGTATGGCAAAATATCGATATTTACTTTTAAATGAATGAATGGATGCGTAGTGCGAATTTGTTGTACGTTTAATGAAATTGAAACTTTATCGCGTTTAAACCTGGAGCGCCGAACGCTATAAACGTGTCGATCAAGTTAATCGCATATGTTGTTCAAGTTAAGCACAACTTCGGCACAGTGACCACGCACTACGCTTAAGAAGCTTGCCACCACAAGTATTATCGACAACAATACCCACCTACGATGTGATGTTGATTCGCTGGTGCTTGATGGGCGGCTCGCCGTCGGCGCGCCGATGACGCACCGCCCGCGAGCCGACAGCGCGACGACGGCGGCGCTGCGTTGGCAAGGCGTAATTACGTGGGCGCCTCGACTACACCTCGAGTGCACCGCGCACCGACCACCCGCCGTCTGTTCTTTGTATTGACGTTATAAAATATATCATACGACATACAATTTAAAGTTCATATTTAAATGGCAACTTAATTGCTGGGTTCGAGGCGAGCTTATTAGATGTATGTTGACCTTAGACAAACTAGCACTGGGTGACTGCTATGTCAGTTAGGGATAAGTGGGACTATTTTATAATACGGGGGAGCGATGCTTGATGATGAGCTCAGACTCGACCGGAATGATATCACGGCTTGAAAGTCAGCCGACGTGGAAGCTTGGTCCCATTAACCAACCAAGAAGACTTCACGCGGTGACGTTTCGATCGTAAAAACACCTCATACTCGCCACTCGATACCCCGTTTTCGATGTCGATACTGAGTTTTTTTTTTTTAAGGGGGGAAAATCATCGAATGACTGCTCCCGGCTGGGTGAGGCGGGAGGGAGTGTCAGACTCTTACTGACTAAAAACCACCCCGTTCCTTCTTCTGCACGTCGAGTTGGAGCCCCGGTTACCCGTTAGGTTCTCCGCGACATCGATACTGAGTTACTGACACATGGTAATGCAAACACTTCTCTTTGAAACTGGGGTCAACAGTTATCACTTTAAATAATGGTAGATAAAGCGTATGCATCCAGATTTGAACAGGCCAAACTGTATTGAATAATAACACAAATTCTACGAAATAAAACAAATTATATTCACATTTTTGTATATTTTTCATAAAATTAACAGCTTATAATTATGAATACGTGACGTTATGTATATAACATAACATCACGCCTTTTATCCCCGAAGGAGTAGGCAGAGGTGTACATTAATGCCACTGTACAATGTAACACCCACTTTTCACTATTTATGTTATGAGTCCCATGTAATAGGGGGTGAGCCTATTGTCATATACCGGGCACAATTCCAGACTCCGTGCTACTACTGGGAATTTTTTGAAAAACCCAGTAATACTTTGCCCGACCCGGGAATCGAACCCGAGACCCCTTGCCCGGCAGTCGCACTTGCGACCACTTGGCCAATGAGGCAGTTATGCATACATTATGATGGCAATTATGAATACATTAATTATTATGTTTTTCGGCTTACTCACGTAATTATTTGACGAGGAACTCGACTAGTTTCAAGCCATGTTAGAGACTCATATTCATGAGCAGCATTCCACGGCCGCTCTAGCCGAAATACATTATAATTAATTTAGTATGTCTCACGAAAGTAATAATATAAATACATTGCTTAAACTGTCAAACACCAAGCGGTCACCGGTGACCGCAACCTATTGTTCTATAATTGTGTCTACAAAACCGGTACTCGACGAGTTAATATACAATTTATTAGTTTATCCTAATGAAATATAATATTATACATTAATCTTGTTATTTGCTAAGAAATTCATGGTAGGCGCTTTCCAATATGTTACTAAATCACTATCACTACATGGTATAAAACAAAGTCGCTATCCGCCGTCTGTATGTCCGTATGTATGCTTAGATCTTTGAAACTACGCAACGGATTTTGATGCGGTTTTTTTTAATAGATAGAGTGATTCTTAAGGAAGGTTTATATGTGTAATATATGCATACTGCACCCGTGCGAAGCCGAGGTCGCGCTAGTATAGTATAAATCAGTTTGTACCTGTTTACCTAACATTAGCAATAATGTGCGGTCTCACACATTGCTCGACCTCTATTGATAAATAATCTATCCATTATCCAATAAAAATACTTATATATTCAAAGCGAACCGGTACCTATATAGTCTTCAGATGTTATCTTGATACACAATAAATATTCATTTGTTTATATTATCACTGCATAGTATAAAACAAAGTCGCTATCCGACGTCTGTCTGTACCTATGTATGCTGTCCGTCCGGTACCCCTAAAAATATAAACAAAACACATCCCGATGTTTTAGAGTATTGACTTTCCAATGAACCACGTGTTAAGTCATTCATTTTATATTTTATGGGAGCCCGTCTAGAAATAACTAATGGGCAATGGAGTTGTAATTTGTTTAGATCTTTAAAACTACGCAACGGATTTTGATGCGGTATTTTTTAATAGATAAAGTAATTCTTAAGGAAGGTTTATATGTATAATACATGTGTATTGCACCCGTGCAAAGCCGGGGCGGGTCGACAGTGATATATAAATATTTATTTATATTATGATGAACGAATTGCGCATAAATAAAATAAAAAAATATATTCTATAATGCGTAAATCTAGGCAAACAGATGTAATTAAACCACCACTTGCTGTCCACGGCTCATTTCGTATCTGTCATAATTTTAAGAACTAAATTATTCGTCTGTAAGATCTGAAGATTGATGATGCAGACTTCATTCTGTCTTCGGACGGCAATATAGTATAGTTTGTTGGTGCAACTGATGATGCTGTAAAAGAATACACAGTTTTAATACAAATAGCCTATAGTGTGCACCTCTGCCTACCCCTTCGGGGATAAACAGCGTGATGTTATGTTATGTTGTTGAAATATGAAAAATAATCACACGGTCATTAATTTGTTTTATATACCATCTCAATTTTAGTATGTTTCCAGCAAATTTCTAAGAAATAAGTACGCTGTTTGACGCTAAAAATCGTGACGTCACAATACACAATCTCGTACAAAATTCATAGAGAAAACTGTCTTTATTGACAGTTTGTCAGTACAGTAAATAAAAACTTACGTTGTGTTAGTCGCTTCCACGTCTGTGGAGTACCCACGGTTATCGTTACTATGACAACGAGAAAAAACAATATTTGTAAAGCCTTCATATTTGTTAGACAATGTCTTCACTTTGCTCTATGTAGCAGTAGACGTCTTTTAGTTGATGTAACTTTATTAAAATTTATTAATAATTGTACTCAATACACACGTCTATTCATACCAGTCTTACAGAAAAACTTAATATCTACTTCGGGTCAAAATGCTAGTATAATTGATAACAACCCACAGCTTATCAAGCTTGCCTTAATTGTACATTAGATTTCAGTCTTTATAAATAACGTGTTTAGCTCGAAAATGTAATGCAGATTTGTATAGATTGTATGTTAAATTGATGCATACGTATAGGTACTTAGAGCTCACAATAGTGTTGTCAATAACCACTCGTTTTATCGATATCGATTTTTTAAATGGAGTCACTGTTTTAATTTCGAAATTTGTCGACATAATGAGGTAGGATTCGCAAAAGTAATATTGTGAGTCCATACTTATTAGAGACGTAGAGAATTTGAAGGGGAGATACGGAGCCGCGGTGGACTTAACGGTTTGCCGGGGCTCCGAATCGAAGGGTAAGAGTAGGAACGGGGTGGTTTTTTGTCAGTAAGAGTCTGACACTCCCTCCCGCCTCACCCAGGCGGGAGCAGTCATTCGATGATTTTCCCCCTTAAAAAAAGGATTTGAAAAGGAAGGGAATTCTATGTATGGACCCCTCATCTACCTATTTTTGGAATAAAAGGCGCGGTGTTATCATAATTATTATCTCATGTTTCTTTATTTTATTTCACCAAAAAAGTGTACCACTAAAACTTTTGTTTGAACAGCAGTAGTTCGGTGAGAGAAGTATGACAGTGAGATGAATGAGTTTTTTCTTCTCCATTAATAATATCTTCTGATTCACTTCGTTTCGGGAACCAAGACAGTTACTCATGTCCCTGGGACGCGCCGGACTTCAGTGTTCCGGTGTTTTCATGGTTGTATCTACTGTAGATCCTGGCTTGCAGGAGTTGCAGCGGTTTTGGAGGTTGTGGAGGGCTTGTGCCATTAAAAAGAGGTGTGATGTAGTGATCGCCATTTTTGTTCATTTCTCAGCTGATGTTTAGCATCGTTCAGGGTAGTAATCGCAGTACGTTTCTAGCCACGGCTTCATGTGGGGATATTTAGCTGTGAAATGAAAAAAAAAGAATAAATAAGTATTTTGACAGCCCCGTTCGCCAAATAGTCGCAAGTGCGACTGCCGGGCAAGGAGTCTCGCGTTCGATTCTCGGGTCGGGCAAAGTATTACTGAGTTTTTAAAAATTTTCACTTAGAATGTATAACATATTAGCTTCTGCTCGCGACTCCGTACGCGCAAACCCGTTTTCTCCCGTTCCCGTAGGATTTTCAGGATTGTTTTTAAGTCATAAAAATCTTCTCATAATAACAATTACAACAAAAAAGAATAAGTGAAATGGGTCCAGGCATTCACGCGTGGTGCCGTGACCAAGGGAAAAGTAATAACAATATATAACGACGATGGGAAGTGCGACTGCCGGGCCTCGGGTTAGGCAAAGTATTTTAGGGTTTTAAAAAAAATCACAGTAGTAGCATGGAGTCTGGAAATGTACCCGGTATATGGCAATAGGCTCACCCCCTATTACATGGGACTCATAACATAGATAGTGAAAAGTGGGTGTCACTTCTGTGTGCACCTTTGCCTACCACTTCGGGGATAATAGACGTGATGTTATGTTATGAACGTTTTACCGAGGATGGCTATAGGCTATAAAACATCACGCTACGATCAATAGGAGCTCAGAGGAGCGTGTGAAACCGCGCGGAAGTAGCTAGTGATATAAGACGTAAAGATAGACAAATCATTACCTCTTGAGTTATTTAAGTCGAGCAAGCCTGCCGTGCAAATTGAGGAGCACAATAACAGAAAATATAGAACACAAACAAACTTCATGACTGAGGTAGTGAACGCAGGACCGCTCATGGTGGCAATAACTTGTGTAGTGACTATTATACTAAAAATTGCACTATATAAATGATATAACAATTAATATGATTCATTTATACATAACGTCACTACATAGTATAAAACAAAGTCACTATCCGCCGTCTGTCTGTCCCTATGTAAGCTTAGATCTTTAGAACTACGCAATGGATTTTGATGCGGTTTTTTTAAATCGTTGAGTACTGTCATTATAGACACAATTAAAGAACAATAGGTTGCGGTCACCGGTGTCCTCGGGGTGTTTGACAGTTTAGTAGATAGCATGATTCTTAACTCGTCGAGTACCGGTTTTGTAGACACAATTATAGAACCATAGGTTGCGGTCACCGGTGACCGCTTGGTGTTTGACAGTTTATATGTATATTTGTATAATACATGTTTATATGTATAATGTATGTTTATATGTACAAGGTTTATATGTATAATACATGTATAATATAATAGAGAAAGACTGATAAATTTAGAGGCTTCAAATATTGCAAACGCTTACCGAACCATACGAGATAGATCAAATGATGTACTACATCAGGGCTGTCCAAACTACATACGCTCGCGGGCTGATTAAATTTCTTACAAAACCTGGGGGGACAAAAATATATTCAGTTGTATAATGACGTTTAACATTGTATTCTTTACTTACAAACTAAACTTATAGACAAATCATACACTGAATTTTATTATTGTTGTTGCACATAAGATGAAGATATTGAGATTAAATGTGTGTGTCGCATGCGGCCCGCGGGGCCTTTGTTTGGACAGCCCTGTATTACAGTATTGTCCACGTTAATTGTCTAATGACGAAAAAGCTATGAACGTTGTGTTTAAACTGTCAAACACGAAGCGGTCACCGGTGACCGCAACCTATTGTTCTATAATTGTGTCTATAATGACGGTACTCGACGAGTTAAGGACATTATGTTATAGGTATATTTACATAAGCATTGCCCGTGCGAAGCAGGGGCGGATCGCTAGTATACTGTAATTGTTATTGACAATTAATTATACAGGAAGGAAACTCGTATAGTTTCTTAACCTTGTGTATTTTAACTGTAGGTACTTTTCTGCTAACAATTTAATGTATACATACATTTACATATAGCAAAGGGGTCGGCAGAGGTGTAAGTAAATTACGGCAGTTAATGCCACTGTACAATGTAACACCCACTGTTCACTGTTTACGTTATGAGTCCCATGTAATAGTGGGTGAGCCTATTGCCGTACACCGGGCACATTTCCAGACTCCCTGCTACTACTGAGATTTTTTTGAAAACTCTGTAATACTTTGCCCGACCCAGGAATCGAACCTGGGACCCCTTGCCCGGTAGTCGCACCTGCGACCACTCGGCCAACAAGGCAGTATTATTGACACCACTGATAAACGGCGAAGGAAAACATCGTGAGGAAACCCTGACCTTATGTGGGTGTTACTTTGTACAGTGGTATAAAGTGCCGTAATATGCACCTCTGCCTATCCCTTCGGGGAGAAAAGGCGTGATGTGTATCATATGCATGTATTAAAAAGTTGTTATTTTAATATGCTGCCTCGTTGGCCGAGTGGTCGCAAGTGCGACTGTCGGGCAAGGGGTCTCGGGTCCGATTCCCGGGTCGGGCCAAGTATTACTTTGTTTTAAAAAAAATCTCAGTAGTAGCACGGAGTCTGGAATTGTGCCCGGTATATGGCAATAGGCTCACCCCCTGTTACATGGGACTCATATCATAAATAGTGAAAAATGGGTGTTACATTGTACAGTGGCATAATGTGCACTTCTGCCTACCCCTTCGGGAATAAAAGGCGTGATGTTATGTTATTTTAATATTACAAACAGAAACTCGAATTTTATTTAAGTATATAGATTTATTTATTAAAAAAATATAATTTATCATGACATCTTACGACTAAAATGACGACGATGAATTAACCCTTAATGATGATACCTCTCATGATATAATCATGCTAATGCAACGAATGAATACAAAATCGAATGTATGAGATTGACACAGACATTCGACAAATTATGTCAAGTTCATACATTGAGATCTCTGTGCACTTGTTTAAATGATGTCGGAAACAGGGCCTTTGGCCAAACGCTACTTAAGCGCTTGTCGACAGAGAGAGTAGAAATCAAAATGTATGGGGATGACACTGACATGTGTCAAAATTTACGTCAATTCCATATTATTTGGTTTTCTATTCTACATGTAGACAAGCGCTAAATGGCATTTGGCCAGATTGCCGTGTTGTGGCGCCAAGAACATCGGTTTCAATGTATATATATATATATATAATGGTTACACACTTGTATGTCGTATTGTGTCGCTAAAGGTGATCAGACGGTTCACTCGAATGAATATTCACCCCAGTAAATGTTTCATTTATCTTTCATTCCATGGTCAGACGACTTAAGTGGAATGACAATGACAAAGAAATGAACGTTCATTCATTGTTTTAAAATATGTCATCGAGTGAAATGAAATGCAATGAAATATAACGAAATGAAATGAACTGAAATGAAATGAAATATAAAGAAATGAAATGAAAAGTGTTTTATTCGGTATAAGGCATGAATGCAAGTAACAAAAAAAAAGAGTGATGTCGTGCTTCTCGGCATCAGTTTAATTTGTGATCATCTAATCAAATCTGAGTGGACGTTCACTTTGTGTGCAGACAGTTCATATTTTGTTCATTCGCAGTGAGAGTGAATGATGTCGAATGCCGAACTCCAGTATCGTTTGATCGGTTCACTAATGAATTCTGTACTCTTGTTTCATACTCATGTTCAGACGTATCATTTTGAAAAAAAGATGCCGAATGAAAGCAAAAAGTGAACCGTCTAATAATGTTTTTTTAAGGGGGGAAAAGGAGCCTCGACACGGCAAACCACGGTAATGTATTTCGCATTAAACAAATGTCATTTGTCTAGACGGGCTGTAGACCTCGGTGTGAAAAGTTGGACGAAGAGATGAAATGACGCCATTCTTGCTCGCTTGTTCACTGACGATGTATTTAAGTTTAGTTATTTTCGCATTTTTCAGGGTAGTAGAGACAGAATATTTCTCTGCCGGTCTTCGCATGCGGATATTTATCTGTAAAATTGAAAATAATTATATGTATGTACCTGGGTGTTTCTTCAATAAACTTTAACTTTTATTTAACAAATCATTATCCTCCCGCGTTGTTAAGAATCGCAGTAACTTTTTAGCATCTGTATTTTATTGGATTGAGTGAGAGCAGTGACATGGCTCAAATTTTTGAAACTAAACTTTGTATTTTTATCAGCAGAATTGTTAACTGTGGCTTAAGGGTAATGACGCTGTTAATTTTTTGGTTTTTTTTTTGGAGAATCACCCACCTACTAGCTTCTACCCGCGACTTCGTACGCGCAATCCCGTTTTCTCCCGTTCCCATAAGTTTTTTAGGATTTTTTTTCTATCATAAATTACGTTTAGTAAAGTTAAAGGAATGGTCACTCTCGGGGACACCTTGTCGCACGAAATCGCATTAGTAATTTTCTGCTGTGTACGAGCCCTTACTACCTATTCATACGTATAAATCAACGTCTTAATACTTAGAATCGATTATTCCAACGCCAGATAAATTTTAACTGAGAAATTCTAACTTTGAACATTTGAGTTAATAATTCCTCCGATTTGAATAATTCTTTTTGTGGTGGATAGCGCATAAAACATCACGCTGCGACCAATTTTTTTTTAAGGGGGGAAAATCATCGAATGACTGCTCCCGCCTGGGTGATGTGGGAGGGAGTGTCAGACTCTTACTGACTAAAAACCACCCCGTTCCTTCTTCTCCACGTCGAGCCGGAGCCCTGGTAACCCGTTAGGTTCTCCACGACAATATTAGTTAGTCTGGGACTAGTTTTTTGAGCTGTTTAACCCTTTGAGTACCGTCATTATAGACACAATTAAAGAACAATTGGTTGCGGTCACCGGTGATCTCGCGGTATTTGCCAGTTTAATGATAGACAACATTGTCGTAATCGCCTGGAGGTTTAAGACTCCCGCATCTCATGCAGTGAGTGTGGGTCTGAAACCTACCAACGGCAAGTATCAATTTATCTTTTACTGAGTTATATGTACTTTCTAAGATTATAGACACTACTGACAAACGGTGAAGGAAAACATCACGAGAAAACCTGGGCTAATAATTTCTAATAAGTTTCAAATCGTCAACCCACATTGAGCAAGCGTGGTGGTTACTGCTTAAATCTTTTCCATGTTAGAAGAGGCCTTTGGTCAGCAGTGGGCAGTGGCCACTTATAGGCTGTTGATGAATGATAGACAAAATCTTACCTTCGTTTGGAATGTTCCTGATGTAAATTTGTGCTGTGCTAATTGCAAAGCACAATAACAAAAAATAAAGCAAGCAAATGAACTTCATGGCTGGAATAGTTTGTGCACAACCTCTCTTGGTGACGGAAACTTGTATATTAATATTATACTAGAAATCTGCACTATATATAAATGAAAACAAGTGAATTATATGATTCATTTATGTATGACGTAGGTATATTGTTGTCATTGTTGATCGATGATGAATTATGTGGATGTAGTTCCTTATACAGAGTTAAAACTTGTGCGGGGTGAAACCACAGAGCTCCACTTACTACGTCAAAGTCGAAATCATTTATTTCAATTAGACCAGGAAGGCACTTTGGACGTCAACGTCAAAAAAATTTAGAAGTGAAGCTAGTTGCTCATTCCAAGGTGTAGAATCCTATGGAGAAGAACGAGTAAGAAACTCCATAGGTTACTCTTTTTCAATCGGGTTTACAATACAATTTTCTAGTTATATAGTGTATAATTATATAATTATTTTTGTGTTGGATAGCCCATTAATCAAGGAAAGCTTTAGGCTATAAATCATCACGCTACGATCAATAGGAGCAAGGCAGCAGTAGGTAATATGAGGATCTCCTTTAATATAAGGATCGTAACAAAACGTTTCAAAACACCTTATAAAAATGGGTAATAATAAAACACATGATTAGATCTTATAATACGTTTATTTATTTAATAGAATATGTTATTGTGGTATAATCATAATTAATAACAGCTACAAGACGTCTGCTGCCGACCATAGTCCTCTAAATGACTTCAAGACTCTGAAATTATTAGGCTATGAAAACTTCAATATATGGGCTTGAAACGTGTCGAATGTCCATGTCAACCCTATACATTCAATTTTAATCATTCGTTCGACTACCTATTGATAGTCATTTGTTTTTTTTGAATATGGCGGCAAACGAGCTCAATATCACCTGGGTGCTTACTCTGTAAACCAATGTCAATGGAATTTCAATACAATAAAATCTAAATAATTACCTATCTAATGTCTCACGGAGAACCTAACGGGTAACCGGGGCTCCGGTTTGACACTCTCTCCCGCCTCACCCAGGCGGGAGCAGTCATTCGATGATTTTCCCCCCTTAAAATAAAAAAAAAATACCCCCATCGAAACTGTTAAAATAGCATTCAGAGTACGGAATATAAAGCCAAACTCAATACGTTAGTGTTAAGTCTTAGGTATTGTATAATTTCGTACTCTTGAGTTGCAACACTAGCGCCCATTGCATCCGTATTGCGTGGATATTTAATGAACTAAATGGTGTTGAGTTTGGATTTATATTTCGTACTCTGAATGCTATTTTAATAGCTACAGTTGTATAGAGTTGACATTGAATAATTATGGAGATGTTATTGGATTGAAATTGCATTGACATTGAGATAGGTTTCAAGGGTAAAGCACCCTAATTGTTTGTTTTGAGTAACATTTAGTCATTGGAAATTCTTCCCCTTCCTGACCAAAGATCAACCTAATTTGTGGTACAAACCTTTACTCTTGATTAGTCTTGATGACCATACAATTTTAAAACCTATTAACTCGTTGAGTACCGTCATTATAGACACAATTATAGAACAATAGGTTGTGGTCACCGGTGACCGCTTGGTGTTTGACAGTTTAAAATGTATTTTATGTACTATTTGAGGGTTTTCCAGATTTTAGAATGGCGTCATTTCACATCGGTCTATTTTGTCATCAGTCTATAAGGGCCCGTACACAAAACTGCGATGTGATGCGAATTACGATGCGAATTACTGCGATGCGATTTCGTGCGACAAGGCGTCTCCCAGGATGACCATTCCTTCGACGACCGTCAACCGTACTAAACGTATTTTAAATTGAAAACTAGGTCGTGACATGGATCGTAAAAAGAAGTGTGCACTTCTGTTATTGCTTAGGAGATACAGGTAAAAGAAACAAAGAAGATTTTGGGAAGATAACATTTTGATGCGCGATGCGAATCAATTCGCAAGTTCTTGTGATGCGTAGATAGCTCGCACATTTTTGAGTGTACGAGTCCTTACTGGGACATGTCTTAGTGAAATGTTATGAGTACCTATAGAAATTGGTGAAATGTAGGTCGCCATTTTTATTCGCTGGTTCGCTGACGATGCCTTAATATTTAGCTTCGGTTTTATTATCAGCAACTTCGTGGATGGTATCTGCAGTATATCTCCCTCCATGGTTTCATATTGGAATGTATATCTGTAAGATTAGAAATATGTGTTTTTAAACATATTTAAAACTTGTCAATCGCGTTGATTTGCATAATTTTGTCTTGAAATTCCGAATTATTATTTTAAAACCTGTCACGATTAATAATTTTTTAAACGTGTACCCATACCGGTATGATTTAATAATAATAATAGTAAGCCTTCTTGTGCGCAAACCATTTCGAATCGAGTTATTTCCTTAATCAAAAATACATTGATTCCACTACATAATAAATCTATTGGATTTTTTAACGTTGCTCGGCATTTGGGTTTTCGAATATGTCGTGGGTGCGTTTACAAATATAGAGGTACAAGCTCACCTCACCAACCAATTGGGATGATGACAGGGTATGAAAATTAAAAATCTAATCAGTCCGTCAGTTAAGTAATGAAAAAATATTAGACACGTATTTTTTTATTTTGTCGTATATTAAAACAATACTATCAATAAAAAATAATATCGGTTCTTTAGTCTCGCTGAAACTTGAAAACGGCTGAACAGATTTGGCTAATGAGTCTTGAAATATTCAAAGGCGAGAATAAATATTTTTAGTTGGTACGAAGTTTGCCGGTTCCCCTAGTTTGTCATTATCATATTAGTGTTATTAGACATTATCATATCATGACAACACGGTTAGTGCGGTGGCTGGGCAATTGGCTGCCATGCAACGTGTCGCGGGTTCGATTCCCGGAGCGACTCTTTGTGTGATCCACAAATTATTGTTCCGGGTCTGGGTGTCATGTGTATGTGAACTTGTATGTTTGTAAACGCACCCACGACACAGGAGAAAATCCTAGTGTGGGGCAACTTGTTTTTTAAAAACAAAACAAAAATTGTAATGTAAGATGATAGAATAAAAGATTCACAAATCCTTACCTTCTCGCCCCGGGTGTGCTGTGCATATTGTGATTGTTAAGCACAATATAAATAGAAACCAAATTATCTTCATAGCTAGACGAGTCATAGCACAACCACTCATGGTGATGGAAAGTAGTATTATGACTATCGTTCTAATAGCTGGCCCAATATAAGTGGTAATAGTTGCTACGTTCAATTTTTTACATATTTATGCATATATTAATGTTGATGATGAAATTGATGATATTGGTTATAGATCGAATCAACGGCGTTTTGTTCATGGTTCAAACGGTAACGGATACCATGGCTTTTTTTTTAAGGGAGGAAAATCATCGAATGACTTCTCCCGCCTGGGTGAGGCGGGAGGGAATGTCAGACTCTTACTGAAAAACCACCCCGTTCCTACTCCTGCACTTCGAGCCGGAGCCCCGGTAACCCGTTAAGTTCTCTGCGGCACCAGGGCTCTAGATTCGGTAATACATAACATAAGGCCGGCAATGCACCTGTAACTCCTCCGGTGTTGCAGGTGTCCATTGGCGGCGCTGATCGCTTACCATCAGGTGGTTCATCTGCTCGTTTGCCTCCTATTCCATAAAAAAACATAACATCACGCCAAAGTTGCACATTACGCCACTTAATGCCACTGTACAATGTAATACCTACTTTTCACTATTTATGTTATGAGTCCCATGTAATAGGGGGTGAGCCTATTGCCATATACCGGGCACAATTCCAGACTCCGTGCTAAGACTGAGAATTTTTAAAAACCCAGTAGTACTTTGCCCGACCTGGGAATCGAACCCGAGACACCTTGGATTTTTTTTAAGGGGAAAAATCATCGAATGACTGCCACCTGGGTGAGGCGGGAGGGAGTGTCAGATTCTTTCACTCCCTCCCGCCGGTAACCCGTTAGGTTCTAGCAGTCGCACTTGCTACAACTCTGCCATCGTGGCAGTCGATCGGTAATAATAGTATAAATAGATGAAGGAAAAACATCGTGAGGAAACCTGGGCTTATTATTCTTAATTTTAAGTTTGAAATCGCCAACCCGCTTTGAGCAAGCGTAGCGATTAATCTTCAAACCTTTTCCGTGGGAGGCCTTTGGTCAGCATTGGCCACTTATAGGCTGTTGATGATGATGATAATGATGAAGCAACGCCTGCGTTGTGTGTCGTCGTGTGAGTGAGGTTACCGGAGGCCCAATTACCCTCCCCTTCCCCAATCTCCCCAGTCCCTGAATCCCCAACGATCCTCAGACTCCTATTGCTTACCATCAGGTGATCCGTCTGCTCGTTTACCGGCTTATGCCATAAAAAAAAGTTGCTCTTGATTTCCAAAACCACATTAAAATTGAATTTTAACTGTTTTTTTTAACTCATTCATTGATGTTGTTTTTAAAAATCTTAATACCTACAGGTGATAACCAAATGGTTCACAAAACCATTAGTTACCTTATTTTTCGGGTAAAGTAATAAAAGTCATGATTTAATTGTATGCTTTGTTTATTTAATATTGAATAATTCTTGTTGAGGTATCATTGTCATATCTCCCACAGGACGTCCAATTCTCTCGAACTAACTTATAATTAACTTGTGTATGTCCGATTATAGAAAATCCACAACATTTGTCATACAAAAGTTGTCTCTAAACAGGAAATAAGGTCTATAATGGAGGTAGTCGAGAGCGGTCACCGGCGACTACTTGGGGATTGATCAATATGACCATTGATTGAGCAATAAGAGTAAGCCCCCTGATGGTAAGCAATCAGCGTCGACCATAGGCATCCAAAACACCAGAGGAATTATACGTGGGTTTTCGGTATTTTTAAATAATTTTATTCAGTTTGACCTAGGGCTTACTCTTGAATTCAATTTCCGATCGATCGTTTTTGGTATTGTAAAAATTCGTACTCTTGAGTTGCAACACTAGCGCCCATTGAATCCGTATTGCGTGGATGAACTAAACGGTATAGTTTGACTTTATATACCGTACCCTGAATG